TATTTACAGATTGTTATTTTATTGCATTATAAGAATACTTTCCCCGAGTTGTACCTGGGAGCTTCTCACCTGATCTGATTGGCTCTGACGGTGAACGGCTCGCTGTGTTTGTTCTTCATCATCCTCACTGTGTATTTAAACACTGATGGACTCAAAGACTTCTTCCTGCTAACACACACACACACACACACTTTAGATCACACTTCAGTAACTTGAGATCGTAACGTTGGCGTGACCTTTCACCTACTGACCCATTGACTTGTACTGTGGAACTCTGGAAGGCGCTGTGCTCGTCATCGCTATCACTGATGACGATCGTGTCATCGTCAGCCATCTTGCCGTGGCCGTTAACGTCTGGTGCTCGACTAACACTGGAATCAGGCAGGTGTGCCTGCAGGATCTCACACACGTATCTGAAAAGCAAAAACAGAAAATGACCTCACTCCACCTGGTTTCACCTTTGCTCTTTAACACAGAAAGATGGAGGCTAACAATCTGCAAATACACAAACATGGATATATTTCTAACGTGTACCTGGCTCCGTTACATCCACTGACGTCCACCACCTCCCCAGGAAAGAACCGGTCTTTGACAAAAGCATAGACGTCCTCACAGAGCTCCGTCAGCCTGCAGCATTGGCTCAAAGCAGCAAGGTGGAGCAGAGGCACCACCAAAGACTGAGGGAAGCTCTCCAGACTCTGCCTTGCCCGCCGCTCACTCTCCACCGCCTCAAGATAAGTGAGTCCCGCTCGGCCCGTCAGAGCACAGCTCCACACCAAGCTGTTACACAGAATGGTCCTCTCAAAGAACTCACTGAGGAAGAGGAGGGTCACAATCACATATTAATGCACACACAGCCTCTTCATATTCAATTCAATTCAATTCAATTTTATTCATATAGCGCCAAATCACAACAAAAGTCGCCTCAAGGCGCTTCATAGATACAGAGAAAAACCCAACAATCATATGACCCCCTATGAGCAGCACTTTGGCGACAGTGGGAAGGAAAAACTCCCTTTTAACAGGAAGAAACCTCCAGCAGTATTCAAGTCCAGCTTCTAGAAACTCCAAGAATGTTTACATACACACATCATCTCTCATCTCGTTCACTGTATGACATTCAGAACTTATCCAAAGATCAGAACCCTGCAGACAGTTCTCTATAAGGCAGGATTGACACATATGACCCCATCATATGCTGCTCGAAGTTATTTTAAAGTTTTTCCTCACACAGTTATTTTATTTATTTGGCTGTCAACTGCTGCTCAGTCAGTTACTGATCCCAGTACCAACTCCACCAATGGACTCCAGCAGGTGATGGCTGTCCTCGTTTTATTCTGTAGGCTTGGTAGGTTCACTGCAAAGGAGCACGAATGGATCAGTTCTTCACCTGATTCAGGTTTTGGTTAGAGTGGCATTTCAAGTCACACCAAATCTACAGTTCAAAACAAGGAGCAACACCATCAGCTGCAGACCAAGACAGTCCAGTGCAGAGCAATCAGGACCAACATCCAGGACCACTGAAACAACCTGAGCCCTGTACTCCAACATACACAGGTCCAGTTCTTTGGCTTCACTTCGCTAACACGTGCCATCAGAATACGCAGCTACATGAAGGTGGTGATCAACTGACTCGGCTATCCCAGGGTTTCTCTGCTCGTTCATGTGGAAGGAAACATCTAACCAGTCACTTTTATGGATAAGTACACTGGCAGTAGAATGACTGATTTTACAGAGAATGATAAAACTATACTACGAGAAAAACAAGGGATGAAACACATAATATGGACTGAACAACACAGCTGCTGCAGAAGAGTGAGAGTGATGTAAGAGTATGTGTGAGAGGAAAAGTACTGCACAGAATGAAAGGTGACTGGAAACTGGTGACTGTGTAGGTTAACAGCTTCACGATGAGCCTCGCTGCCTTGTCATTTAAACACTAATGAAGGGAGGAAGTATTTAATAGAATCCGTTTGTCTGCCTGTTTTTACAGCAGTGTAGCCTCCACAGTTTGAGATAGTTTTAAATTTCGTGTGACGGTAAAAACCAATAACAGCTCAAGCTGATTTCATGTTGGTGAAGATTGTATCCATATGAAGGTCAAAGTCACACCAAGCATGCAGAGTTCTGTGAAACCACAGAGAGACAAAAGAATGGAGACGTAGTCTAACAGCTCAGGATCCAACGCACACCACCTCGTCTAACATGGTGGAGGCATCATTATAGGATGGCTGTGTGCTGCTGCCAGTGGAACTGGGCCATTAGTGTTTGCTGATGGCGAGTAATGCTCTCTGCTCAGAGTCATCTAAATGCTGCAAAACCGATCGGACTGCATCTGCAGTGCAAACGATAATGACGACACCAGATATACACGAGGACAGCATTATTAGACCCAAAGTGTTGATGAGCTGCTAACAGATTATTAAACAAATTTTAACACAGTTCTGCCAAACATTCAGTTCAGCACTTTGTTGAAGCAAGTGAGTAAAGTTCACTTTGTCCTTCTGCAGGCAGTTCTTCACCAGGAGGGGAGGGGACACAGACACAGACCCGCTTTGGCTGTCTTTCAAAATCTTCTCCCATCATTTTCTCTTCTTGATTCCTCCCACCTTAAGAAGATTTCCAGCTCTGATCTCTCCACAGTATAATACTCCCACCACTGTGTTTCACTGTGGAGGCTGGGTTCTGTGGTTGTATGCATCTCTACATAAACAAGTCTTCTCCAAAAAGCTCTAGTTTCACATCATCTGCTGAAAGGAAGCACTTCCAGTAACATAATCTTTCTGGAACCTCAACCTGAAATTTTTATATTATGTTGGAATCTGAAGATCCCCATTTTAATCTGACTTTAAAGCACTGAGCATTACATTCATTGCTAAACATTTATACATGTTTCAGAGTACTAATAAGATTGACCCTGGTGAAAAATGCTTTCTATAGAAAACCAGCATGTTTAGAAGTTCTATGTTATGGCCAAGTCAGTCCTCTGAGCTCAGCCTAACAGAGCATACTTCTCCATTATTCAATACAAAACTGAATGCAGAATAACCCACAAGCAGCAACTGAAGGTGTCTGCAGTAAAGGTCTAGCGCACCGATGCAAAGGAGGAAACTGGTTGTAGACTTCAGGCAGATACTGAATATTACATGAATTTACTTATGTAGAGCCAAAACACAACAGTCGCCTCAGGACACTTTAGATTTTAAGTTAGAGACTCCACAACAACTGCAAGTGTGCACTTCAACATGATATCGATTGATTTACAAAAGGCTGTGGTGGTGTACAGAAAGAAAGAAATACATAGAAAGTCTCTTTGTCCCAAACATTAGGGAACCATGTTTCCAAAGTGCTATACCTCAGGAAGTGCTGAAGCATCTTCGAAGCACAGAAAGCTCCGGGGTAAAGTTATCTGGATAATTCAACCTTCTGCTTTGTAGTTCAGGCTTGTACAGTACAGACTGTTATGAAGCAGAGGGTGGTATCCCTTACTAAAGCCAATGCAACGTTGTCTCAGACAAATGAAAAATATATATTAAAATCCAAAATTGCAAAATGTAGCAGGAGAGACTGGCCAAGTAAGTTTCTTTAGTAAACTCTGTTAACTCTAACACATTTTAATAATCTACATAGTTAGTTCCTCCTACGCCGGGCAGCGCATCGCTACTTGATTAAAACTAATCAAATGATCTGATCAGCTCCCAGAAAGGGAGAACCGTTCCCAACAAACTAAATCTGATCTAAAAGTGAGTGAACATTTGTACAGAGAGCGTAATAAACACAAATGATACAGGTTACGGTGTGCCATCAGCTGCATACGTGGACAGGTATATTTGCTCCTTCTTTAGTGTAATTTTACATTCTTTGTATGTTCTTGTTTTACTTGAACTTAATTTTCCCGATCGTCTCTCTAGGCTACAACATCCCCCCACCCCCCAAAAAAAACGCACATTTGGAAGCCCAAGCTTGCCTTTATCAATTATGCAACATCTGTTAACTGCCTTGTAGTCACTTTTGGGTTTCAGTGCGAAGACGTCCACAGAATGTGAAGCTCTTTTTGAACCATACTTGGCTTTTTAACTTTTAACTAGAGGCAGTTAAAATATTAGGAACTGTTTAATATGTAGGAACCACTGATACAAATATGCAGGCGCTAATCTGAGAAAACAAACCAGCAGATCCATCAATCATAATAATTATATGCACAAGTAATTTTCAGTTTTGTCAATGTCATAACAAAGGCTCCTCTAAGACCTGTACAGTATGCCAATATGAATAATGCTCAGAAATACAAGTGTGCGTGTAAATGTAGTCAGTGATTACACCATGTTAACTTCATCAAATGAAAAATTAGTACAATCTGCACATATTTCAACTCTCTGCCAAAACAAGTAAGCCTGTCTCCATATAAAAAAGAGAAAAAGTGAAAAGTTTGTCTTACTTGAATATAAATTTGAGGTGTGCCACCTTTTGCTTTACACCGTTTTTATTGCTAAAGCTGTCAGAAAAAACAGAAGTTGTGACGTATCGTGTCATATTTGCCACTATGTTACAGTGGAGCAGATGTATAAAGTTACATATAATGTTTAAGTACGCTTACCTAAAATGTACCACTATATACTGAAGCTGTCAGCTGAACACGTCCACGGTCCATTTGGCCCGAGTTTCTTCAGACTGACGTCGAGTTTAGCGGAACTGTAACTTCAGTTTGGAGTAAAAACAGAGAACTTCTTTGATTTTTTTCCCTTCGGGAAAATGACCGAGTAAGTTTGCAAACTTCATGTGTGCTCTTAAAAAGCACTCTTAGTGCGCTGGACCTCAGCAGGTGGGTACAACAGACCTACACTATGAACGGATACCGAGCCTCACCACATCAAGCTAACTGCTAAAACTAGCTGAGCTAACCGCCGGCTCACTGACAGCTTCAGTGTTAGCTTACCCAGCTAACCCACTTTAGCTTCAGTTGGCTAACTCACTTGGATAACATTACACCTGCCAAATCCCACCTTCAAACCCGACTACCTGCTTTAACCTACGTTTTAATGGCGCGGGAGAAGGGGGGAAGCATCACCCCGCCCAAGCCCATAAAAGTTTTTTGTTTTGTTTTTTCAGAACAAAGTTGGTTTTTGTTCATCTTGTTTGGAAGTTTGCTAAGCACCAACTGTCAATGAAACATCGTTCAAACTTCAGTTCAAGTGACTCTTTAAAGGACCCTCCAGGTGAGACAAGTGGCTGTAAGGTACTTACTCGTAGGTCCTGAAGATTTCGTGCGTGATTTTACAGAGAAACACCTCCTCGTCTGGTCGTAGGTCCGCCGGGGGTTTCTGTCGGATGAAGGGTTTTCTGTGGAGAAGCGGCATCTTTCAGCTCCGCTTCCACCGGCCGCACTTAGAAAATAAGAAGGAAACTGGATCACAATATCCGAATATCAGACGTAAACTCTGACCAAACCCTTCAAAGTAAAGTAAACCCGGAACCCGGACTGTGAACGCGGCGGAGATTAACCGAGTGGTAGGAGACAAGAGGAGGTGAGCGGGTCTTTTGTTAGACGCGCTGATAATCTGACCACATGGAAGTGTACTCCTCACCGTGTAAATCGACACACTCAACTCTTAGAGAGTAAAATAAAAATCACAAAGCCCACATCCACTCGCTCCTAGTGGAGAACAGCTAAAAACACGTTTCTGGTGGTCTTTACCGAGTTGTGTAACAAAGAAGCGATAATACGCCGTCCAATCTGAGGAAGAAGTCCGGGCTGAAAAGCCGCTCACTGGCGGCTTGTTGACCAAGTTTTCGTGTACTTCACGGACCCACAAAGAGCTGGGAAATATTACGGTTTCGCTTAATCTGCACTCTTCACGAAATTAAAAGTACTAACACCACCATTTTAAATGAGTCTGTTACAAATATAAATACTGCATCTGAAATGTTATTAAAGTAGTACGTAAACATGTAATTGTTATTATGAAATCAGGAAAATCAGAAGAAAGAACAAATGGTGGAAAATGAATGAATTATTTCCAAATAGTTCCAAACCGCTCTCCCTGACCCATCACACCGTCTCTACTCCACAGTTGTGATTCAGCAGAGCTCCTTCTCCCTCAGACTGATTCTGCTTGGTTCTTTATAAGAACCTTTATACACCTCACAGAGCTCTGTAAGCCTGCAGCATTGGCGCAAAGCAGCAAGGTGGAGCAGAGGCACCACCAAAGACTGAGGGAAGCTCTCCACTGCCTCCACATAAGTGAGGATATTGGATAGATATTGAATCTGTAAATTCAATATCTCTATAAAGCTGTATAATAACTATGCATTCAGATGATCCCAAAAGCATTTTTGTACTATACCTTCATGTAGCTGTATTTCTTAGATTTATAGTGTACATGTAATTTAGTGCACTTTGCATCATTTACACAATGCTAGTCTTACTTTTACCTCTTTTAACTAACTTCATTTTTACATTTCTTTGTTTTTTATCATTCCTATAAATCTCATCATATTCTTACCAGGTGCCTGTGGCACTTTTATTTTAACTGTGTTATTTATTTGTTGTTCATTGTAGACTTTACTATTTTTACTCTTTATCACGCTGCTGTAACAGCAGTGGGCTCAATAAAGTATCTGTCTATCTAGTTTTTGGTCTACTGATTCTGCAGTTACTGGTTCAAAGGGGGCTGTGATTTACTAATGTGTCAGGGACAACAACTTATTATTATTTTTACCTACGGTTTTCTCATTTGTTATTATTTGCCGTATAGAAAAGTATTAATTACAGAGAGCCCAGTGACACAGACACAAAATGTGTTTTTTTTTTTTTCAAACAAATGACTTTTATCCAAGCCTTTACATTTATTAAATGTACAGTTTAACAAAGAAAAACATACTTAAAATGGGGAAAAAGAAAAAAAATTAAAATAGCACATTGTTAAGATGTCCTTGACAGTGTCTCACCATATTTCGTGCCTGCATAGTAACATAAGTGTTGGGAGATAAACACAGTTCATAGAAACATAGAAAACGTATAAAAATGGCAGCCTGTGCGGCCGAGCAGCTGAAATTCTACCAAGAATATTTACTTCAGAATTATAGCAATGAACTATGATTAAAGCAATAAAGCAAATACTCATAAAAACAAAAACTGGAACTAAACTAAACTCCAGAACATGATCAGAACATGCAACAGCAAATTAGAGAAAACCGCTAAACCATTAAAAGACTTTGTTTCTGAATTGCTTTGCTTCACCCAAATGCACCATCCAGGGTCTTGGTGGGAGGGTTTTCCTGTCTTCCTCAAAGGCTGTTGGTCCGCTGACCTGCCATGTTCTAACTGCCAACCAACCAGGCTTTATGAACCCACCCCCCGCTCCCCCACCTACTTTCCGCAGCTACACAGAGCCGCAGATTGGAGGCTCGCGTCATCATGGTTAATTCCTCGCATTAGTTCCCGGAAGTCGGCAAAATGCGCCAGCCGCGCTCATGTCAGCGCATAAGTTTGACATGCACGTGTAAAAGGTCAGATGTTTTTGAAGAATGACACTGTATGTTATCAGCACACTTAGATCATATGAATTTGTGAATGAAAACATAGTAGTGGATTATCCACAGAGAATTAGTAGTGTTTTAAACAGAAGACAGGTCAGGCTAAGAAACATATTATTAACCAGGAATACCAATGATATTAAATCAGAAAAAAGGGCTTCAAAACGTAGTTTTACTGGGCTGACCAAGTGAAATACTAGCTAAGTAAGACATTATGTAGCTGTCTGATCTGTTATACACAGGTATGTATGACCTAGTATGATAAAAAATGATAACTGCACAACAATCAGGGGGAAAACTGTATTTTTGTGACATACAACTGTAAATAAAGATTAGAAGAGCAAATGTAGGAAGTTTTGTTAACAGTGCTTTTGTGGTCCTGGTGATTATTAGCATCTGTTTTCTCTTACAGTGTTAAACAACTGTACTACACTAATCTGACAATACACTATTACAATATTAGTATATATTGATTACACAGTTTCATAGTAACTGATGACACTTGCCAAATATCATGAACCACGCCTCAAGTCCTGATGCACTTACCTGTCCCAAGCTTGTACAGGTGTGGGCAGCACTTTTCTCTCTTCTAACTCTGTCAACACAAGAACCACAGGAGGATTCAGGCTGGAAATTGCACTGAGACAGCACCCTGAAACTCATCTCCCTGAATGCTTCTGCTGCTGCCACCCATTTCCCTGTTTTTGTTGGTGTTGTTCGCTTTCTTGCGTGTGTGTCATGGCCTTTCTGCTCGCTGGGTGTATGGTCCTTTACACTATATATGAATTAATTCAATTCAAAATTTAGTTTATTTGAATTCATATCAGTTTTGTTTTATTTATATAGTGCCAAATCACAAAAACAATCAGGATTCAACTTTACTGTTATTTCACATGTATCCGGTCGTTAAGTGATGACGTGACGAATCCTACTTCCGGGCCTAAAGTA